TGCAAGTGAGGATGCGTGTGTTCAATCCCCATGGAAGGCATTCCCTACTTTTTTATCACTTATTTTTCTTGTTTTTCTTTGCAAATTGATTCAATCATAACTCTATTGATTTTCATCATTTTTTTACCATTCTTTTTGCAAATTACTCTTTGACATGTCTATTTTCAATAAGTGAGGAAAGAATTCAAAAACTGTCATTTTTTGAAACACTTTAGTCCACTTAAAAGACATAACCTTTTTAGGGTTTTTCCTTGTTTTCATGAACTTCTTTGATTCAACATTTGATTTTTCTTACATGATTGATCTTGTATGAGTCACTCTTGGATATGTAGCATGTTTTTGTGTTTGAAAACTTTTGGCTCTTTTCCCTACCATGTTTGTATTTGTAAATGCATGAACATAAAAGCTTTGCCTTGAAACTTTTGTGTGACTTGTAAAGTGTTTCTTGATGTTGTAATTTCCTAAAAATGACCCTACCCCCTTTTCCCTACTTGCTTATGTTGTCTTGTTAGAACCATAACATGTTTAGGATTGAACTTTGCTTTAAATGTCATCATGAATTGTGTTTACTTTTCCTTATAAAGTTTAAACCCATGCTTGAATTGTTGTTACTCTTCTTGCTTATCCATGATTGATTGTCATCAGTATGCCTTGAAAATAATTGAATGGTGTTACATTTGTCTTTGTGTGATTCATATGCAAAGTTATAACTTGTATAAATATGCTTTGTTTGTTTATTATTGATGAATTAGTTGTTGTTACAACATGTTCCATGCTTGCTTTTGTTGGGTGGTTACCTTCTTAATATTTGAATGTTGTGACATGCTTTCTCTAAGCTTCCTTGGTTATTACCATGCTCTTCAGACCTTCATCATGTTTGAATGATTGCTTATGTATGTTTAAACTTTGTTAAGTCTCCCCAGGTGATGGAACTTGTTAGTTCTCATCCAGTTGCCCTGTTATTCCTTTGTTCCAAAGGAAAGTCTCTCTATTGACTTCATAGTCATAGATAACTCATTGCCCCTCCCCTTGACTTGGTTAAGTCATTAGGTCCTTTAACTTAGTTAAGTTAGAACCTATATCCATTAAACTTTGCCTTAAGTATAAAGACCTACCCTTTGTCAAAAGTATCCTTTAATTAGAACTTTTGAGATAGAGTTTGTTAACTCAATGTAAGAATCCTTGTCATGATTACTTACTCCCCTCTTGGATTTTGTCAAAGTCATTTCCCTTGAGTGTACAACTTAGAATAAAGAGTTTTGTTAAACTCTATACAAGCATTGTTATGTTTGTTCCCCTTTGAACCTTGATTATAATCAAGTGCTCATCCATCCTCAGTGAGGTGAACTACGATTGCTCTGATTCTATCCTAGTTAGGATACGTAGGCAGAAGATGCGATATCTTTGCGAGAAAACTTAGAAACTATCATTAGGTCTTAACCTAAACCTTAACCCAAATCATAGCATAACCATTAGCAAGTTTATCATACGCACATACACACAAAAGGTTCCTGTAGAGTACTACAGATGTTTAGTATGTGAAATACCTACCCTAAGCATAACCAACCCCCAATCCCCGAATCTCTTAGCGTTGTTGTTACATCGCGCAAAAGGTCTTTCTTTCTTTAACCTTTCCTTCGGATAAATCAAAGTCCGATGGTGAATCTCAATGAATTAAGATTCAAATTAATCAATATCTTGACATCCGATTCTCACCGCAATATTATGTAGTTGAACATAGCCTGAAGAAAGTTCAAGAAGAGAGAGATATGGCTAGGATTGGTCAAATATATCAAGGAAGATCAAGTCAACAGTTTAAACCCAGACAACAACCCTTCAAAGGGAAACAAGTATAGAGTGCTAGACCTAATACTCCTCATTTGTGTCATGCTTATGGTAAGATGCATTACGGAAGGTGTAACCTCGAAAGTGTGAAATGTTATCAGTGCCAAAGAATGGGTCGTGTAGAAAAAGATTGTCCTAATAATAAGAATCAAATGCAAGGGAGGAACATCGGTCGAGTTTATACCTTGGATACAAAGAAGACTAAGGGTGACAACTCTTTGATTGCGGGTACGTGTTTTGTGAATGTACATCCTTGTTTTTTATTGTTTGATTGTGGAGCAACACACTCTTTTTTGTCGATGCAATGTATGAAGCGGCTTGGGGTGCAAGCTATTACTTTGTCTCCTCCCACGGTGGTAACTACCACCATGGATGAGTTGGTTGAGACACCATTGATTTGTGAAAATTGTGTATTATCGGTGGATGGTAGAGTTTTTCAGATTGAGCTTATTTGTTTGCCACTAAAGAAGGTTTACGTAGTCTTGGGGATGGATTGGATCTCTACTAATTAAGTGTTCATTGGTTGCGAGGAGAAGTTAATCATCATTCCGTCCAGGGAAGCTACTCCGAAGGATGTATTGACTAATATTTTAGAATGTATGATTGACATGATTAATTTCTTGTTTGAGAAGGAAAAGTTTGTTCTTTTGGTCCTCATTATGGAAACAAGTAACGACTTGAAGGTTTTGCAAATCCATGTGGTCTGTGAGTTTCTAGAGGTTTTCCCTGAGGATGTCACTTATCTCCCTCGGGAGAGGAAATTAGAATCATATATTGACTTGGTACCAGGAACGACTCCTATATCCGTTTCTCCGTATCGGATGACACCACATGAGCTTAGAGAATTGAAGGAACAATTGGAAGAATTGTTGGATAAGAATTTTGTTTGACCTAGTGTTTCACCCTGAGGAGCTCCAATATTACTAGTAAAGAAGAAGGATGGTGGAATGCGGTTGTGTATTGATTACCGCCAGTTGAATAAAGTCACCATCAAGAACAAGTACCCGTTACCGAGGATAGACAAACTTTTAGATCAGCCGAAAGGATCCTGCGTGTTCTCGAAGATTGATTTACAGTCGGGTTATCATCAAATCTTTGTGAAGAGTTCAGATGTACCAAAGACTGCATTTAGAATCCGTTATGGCTATTATGAGTTCTTAGTAATGCCTTTCGGTGTGACGAATGCTCCAGCTATTTTCATGGATTACATGAACCGAATATTCCAACCTTACTTTGACCAATTTTTAGTGATATTTATTGATGGCATTCTTATTTATTCTCATACTCCGCAAGAGCAGAGAGAACATTTAAGGATTGTCCTATCGATTTTACAAGAGAGGCAAATTTTTGTCAAGTAAAGAAAGTGTGAGTTTTGGATGACGGAAGTTAGATTTCTTGGTCATGTAATATCTCAAGGAGGAGTGGCAATCGATCAATAAAATGTTGAAGCGGTATTTAATTGGGAAAAACTGAAGAATGCTTTAGAAGTCAGAAGTTTCTTAGGATTGGCAGGTTACTATAGATGGTTCATCAAAGGCTTTTCTCAGTTGGCTTTACCAATGACTAGACTTACCCAGAAAGAGTTTCCTTATAGTTGGGATTCTGGATATGAGCAAAGTTTTATGAGTTTAAAGGAACGGTTGTTGATTGCTCCTGTTTTAATTATTCCTGATCCTAACAAGTTGTATGAATTATTTTGTGATGTTTCCAAGAGGGGATTAGGAGGTGTGCTAATGCAGGATGGTCAGCATCAATTGAAGGTTCATGAAGAGAATTATCCAACTGTCATACCCCAAATTTGTCCTACCTTTTTAAAACCTTCATTTATTAAGCCATGATCGTGTAAATCATCCCCTCCGAATTTTGTGTGCACATATTGGAAGTGTGAGTTCTTGCCAAGATGTTGATCTCAAACAGAGAAGCATGACACAATTGAAATGTAAAAGCCATAATTGTAAGGAAAGCTACACTTTAAGAAGTTTCCAAAATGTGACCTTCCCAAGGATGGATTTGTAGGATGGAGTTGTATTACTTTTGCATTGCAAGAAAAAAAACTTGTTATGAAGTTTGAATAACACCAAGAAACATAGTTGTCTGATGTCGTGTTTGGATTGCTTATTGAAGTCAACATTGAATGGAGCAATGATATCAGTATAAAATTATCTGTGGCGCATATTTACTTCAAACCATGTTTAAGTCTTTAAGAAATGAGAAAGCAATGGAACTATAATAACCGCCAATTCATAATTCCCCAAGTTTGGTCCAAACAATCAATATAAAACAAAGTCTCATCCATTAATTCAATACTTGTCAAATGTTCAAGGTGCAAGACCAAATACAGTTGCACGCAATTGCAATGTACCGATACTACAAAAGCTACTAAGTGCAAGCCATTTACATATGGTTATGAAGCAAGAGAAATTGGAAGTTCAAAAGTGAGTTTCAAGGTGATTACGGTTGGAATACAACTTCTTGTTTTTGTTGACATAGCATAATTATAAAATTCACAAGGTCTAGACTTAAGGGACTAAGTTATCTAAGCTTTCATTCTAAGTCTTCATGGGAAAATTCACTTTCATGGCAAAGTTCATGCTTATTCACGCCAACTCTCATTCAAGCTTCAAGTGCATCATCCTCACTCATACAAGACAAATACACCTGAAAAAAAAAACGAATAGAATAAGTGGATAGTACAACCAGAAGATCATATGTGTTTCAAAGCGAAAAAGCTGATTTGGAAGCATTCTTAAGCATGTATAAGCCAATAGCACCAGTAAGTAGCAAAAGCGAAAATAAGACGCGGCAGCAGGGAACATAATATGTAGCATATGATGCATGTTAACTCAAGCTAAATAATTCAAATGAATAATGAAACAAGGGAGAAGATTATACCTAAGGTCCATATCAAAGTGTCTTTTTCAACCATAATTCAAGCTGCACCAAAACATCGGTGTTCATATTCGAAAACTCGTAAAGGAATGAAAAAATGAGTTAGTAAAAGACAACTCACAAAATTCCCAAATGCACCATACCAAGACTATCTCAACTTACGCCAATTCTTCAACATCTTCGATCAACCGGCGACAGCTGCATTCCCCAACTAACAACAATCATAAGTACCCTTGCATACTCATTAACTTATCTCTCTTTCTTCAATGGAGTTCTGGGGTGCTGAGGTCAAGGTTGGTGAATCTGTCAAGGTTGATCCACATCAATTTGAAGCTCGCATTCATCTTTCTCAGGCTGCACTTGGTGAATCTAAGAAAGACAAAGCTAATGAGCATGTTGTTCTTTACTTGAAAGTTGGTGACCAGAAGCTTGTTTTGGGAACCCTTAACAGAGAGAAAATTCCTCAGACTACTCTTGAGTTGGTTCTGGACAAGGAGTTTGAGCTTTCTCACAGTTCCAAAACTTCTAGTGTCCATTTCTGTGGATATAACGCTTACTACCCTAACAATGAATATAGTGATGAAGATGAATTTTCTGAAAGTTATGAGGAGGAAATTCCTTTGGCTCAACCCATAGAAAACAGGAAACCAGAAACAAAGGCTGATGACCTGAAAGTTTCTGAAGCTAAGAAAGCTACTGCCTGGTGCACCTGTCAAGGTTGATCAACCTGCTAAGAGTGGTACATCTGCAAAACAAGTGAAGGTTGTTGATCCAAAGGAGGAAAAAGATGATGATTATGATGATTGAATCTGGTGATGACCTTGATGATAGCTCTGATGAAGATGATGGTGAAGAGACTCCTATGAAGAAGGTGGACCAGGAGAAAAAGAGGGCCAATGAATCTGCATCCAAAACTCCAGTTCCTTCCAAGAAATCTAAAATGCCACTCCAGAGAAGACTGATGGTAAGAAAGCTGGGCATACAGCAACCCTTCACCCTAAGAAAGCTGGAAAGACTCCAAACACTGATGCCAAATCTCCCAAGTCCGGAGGACATCTCTCTTGCAGTAGCTGCAGCAAGACATTCAACTCTGAAACAGGATTAACTCAGCACACTAAAGCCAAGCATGGTGCCCAATCCTGCTAGGGCGTTGCACAGACTCAGTTCAGTCATACCAAGTTGAAGAATGTACATGAAAATTGGTGCAAAACACAGAGAGATTAGCGGAGTTCACAATATAGAAATCTGTCACAAGAGAAATTCGAAAGAGCAGAAGCGTATAGGTTTGATTCCCAACAAGCAAGTGTGTTTTTTTAACCTTAATACTTACCAAGAGATGGTCTTCTAAGCAGATCACATAGAGGTCAACTTCGATGGACTTTGATGCTGCCTTCTCGTACGTGTTGTATACCAAAGCTGTCAAAAACATATGTAGAAGGTTATGGAAAGAAGCTAGTGGATCAAATGTCACCAAGGAGAAGGTCATAAGAAGAAGTATTTACCTTTGGTAATTGTTGCTTTCGTCAATCCGTCAAAACCGGCAGCATGGCTTTGTCACAGCCTATGGATAAATTTGCAGAAGCTTTGTGCCTAAGTTATCACCATGATTCATAGATGGTATACCTTGCATTATTTTCAACGAAAATAGCCAGAAGAGCAAGTCAGAAATATTGACTACCAATAGCAATAAAAGTTTACAAAATTCACAGTGAAGCAGTAAAATAACATCTTTTACATGTGGTAAAGAATTCAGGTAACAATAGATATTTTTTTACACTACAGACAAATTAATAGGTCACCATCACCTTGGTCCCCCCACAAAATCCTTGTGCAAAACCTCTCTAACGGTATTGCAGGTCCGCAGCTCACAATCTCACACACTTGAAGGAATATTCCTCAAAACTTCTCTAAAATTCACACGTATGAGAATGCCCAGAATCCTCCTATAAATAGAACCAATTATTAGCTCAAGAAGAGGAGAGAAATACCCTAAAGAAGCTCTGCCAAAATCTACCTTTAACCACTCCTAGAAGCTCATCATTCAAACCTCCTCAGAGCTCACATCAGAACTCTGAGCGAGGTGAGCTCAACAATGCTCTCACGCCCTCTCATTAAGACACAGATAGAATACTGAGCAGAAAAAGAATCAAATCAAAAGGGGGAGTGAAATAGAAGATAAAGGAGGTGCTTACAGAAAACTCAGTCGAACATCGTCGGAGGAGTCATCGTCGGACTTTGCTCGGATCAGGTACTTTCTCTGTTTTCTGTACACATTTTCATCTTCTCTATGAATACTGGGTTGAACTGAACTTTCATCATAGTGAAGTTGTATTTTTGTTCTAGGGTTTGGGTATTAAGTTGTATTTTTGTTCTAGGGTTTGGGTATTTGTGATTTATGAGCGTGTTATGAGAGACGATTTGGAGAGAGTTTTTTTAGGTTATTGATGAATTCTTGTGAATTTGAGAGTGGAAAAACAGAGGGTTCAGGAGAGAGTAAGTTAAAAGAGTTAGAAAGAGAAGGGGATTTAGAGGAGAGAACACGAAGGGAGGGGAAGATATGATGGATTTGATTAAATGGCATGCGTGTGGGCCGTCTATTATGGCTTCTGCATAAAAAAAATCATTCATAATTTTGAATAAATTGAATGAGAAAGGGAAGTTGTTGTGCTGCCCTAGGAGCCTCAACGGCTGTGTACAGCAGGTGCAGGACTCAAGGTTTTATCATTTTCTGTCAAAAGTATGACCTTTTATTTTTCTTCCCATTTTTATATATATAAACATGTAGAAAGATAATTGTGGATGTGGATCGTAGGCCTCTCCACGCAGCAGGCTGGGAGGGCATGCAAGGTTGTTTTTAATAATTTATTTAGTTTAATTACATTACAATTAGGTTAGAAACTAATAGATTAATTAATATTGGAAAGAACATGATTTTATTTAAGTAACTGGTCCAATAATTAATAAATTCATTGTCATTCATTTATTTATCTTATTTATTTAGAATGAACATTTGTAAGGCTAGTTTCTTAATTTAATTTGTAACACCTAATTAATATTGTTATTAAATTTTGAGAATAATTAATTTCTTAATATAAACAACTATTACTTTCTTAATTAATCAATGAAAGTGGTGGATCCTTGGAGTCTAGCACTCTTTGGGTCCTTAAGCGACCGCTCTCGAGGTGCACGCCTTGAGTTGCGGTCGTTTCGTCTTTCATCCATAAAAATATTTAATTTTGTCTAAATCTTTCAAAGTAGGTGAACCCTAATTCGAGCGATATGCCTACCCTAGTTTAATCTACCTTCACTAATAATCCAAATTATTTTCTTAAATTAAATTATGAAAGTATCAAGTTCTTGGAGTCGCGCATTCCTTGAACTCGAGAATGACCACTATTGAGGCGTACGCCTTGAGTAGCGCGTCGTTCAAACTTTCGTTCCTAAAAAATTTCTCGTAATTATTTGGACAAGTATATTCACTGTCCAACAAACATATTTTATAATTAAGAGAACGAAAAAGGTGTCGTTGGGATCTAGCATTCCAACGATATCCCGACTATTTGGTTACGAGGCCAACGTCTCGTTTATCGAGTAGTCGTCATTCCTCCTAATTTTTCAAACCATCTAATCTCGTTCCTCACCTTTGTGCGATCGAGTCTAAACCGTAGTATGTTTCTAAATCGTATGTTAAGTTCAAACTATTTTCTTAATTAAATTGCGAAAGAATGGAGTTCTTGGAGTCTCGCATTCCTTGAATTCTTGAGTAACCACTCTTGGGGCGTACGCTTTAGTTTGTGGATTACTCGACCTTTCGTCTATAAAATACATGCCCCAACTATTTGGACGAATATCGTCATTGTCCATTCAAATAAAATTTCATAATTATTCGAATGAAAAAGGTATCGTTGGGATCTAGCATTCCAATGATATCCCGATTGATTGATTGCGAGGCTGACGTCTCGTTTATCGAGTATTCGTCATTCTCCCTTAAAATATCCAACCATTCCAACTCTTTTCTCGCCCCCGTGCGATCGAAACCTTAAACCTATTTAAATCCATTCTCTTTCCCAAACCAAAACATCCAATACGATAAACCTAATTCCTCGCCCTCGTGCGATCTCAAACCTAAATACTTTCCCAAAGAACATTGTTTAGTTCATTCTTCCGTGCATAACAAACTAGTGCTTCAGCCTCCCCTAGCGAGTAGACAAGCCAACGTTTAGCAGTTAGAATGCGACCTAAACACTCGTTCAATTCAAACCCTTTTACCGTAGTTGGCCGAACTATGGCTGCTCAAATTTCTCATTTATCAATGAGAATATGTAGGCACAAGATTGCGATGATCTTGGCGAGCACAATCCCCTTTTTTTTCCCGTAGTCCCCGAACTACGAATACTCTGATTTTTCACTTATTACAAGTGAAGATACGTAGGCACAAGGGCCCCAATCCTTGGCGAGCACCCTATCTTAAAACCACCCATTTCCCCCTTAGGAGAAAATCTTAGAAGAAAACAAACAGTTTAGCTAACTTTACTCTCGAATCGAATCAAGAGGTTCTCGTTGAGTACAACGGACGTAGAGGGTGCTAATACCTTCCCTCTGCGTAACCGACTCCCGAACTTAGAATATTGGTTGCGATGACCATGTTCTTATCTCCTTAAAGGTTTTATCGATATTTTCCTATTCCATCCCTGGAATGAATAAAGTTCGGTGGCGACTCTGTTTCGAACGTATTTTCCGCGTCCATCGCGAGGATCGTATTTTTCGAGGTACGACACCAACTCATGATTTGGAGTTAACGATTGTGGTTTTTACATTGAAGGTGTGGCATCATTACTTGTATGGAGTACGTTTTGAGAAGTCCATTGACCATAAGAGTTTAAAGTATTTGTGTAATCAGAATGAACTGAATATGCGTCAAAGGATGTGGATGGAGTATTTGAAGGACTTTGACGTTGAATTGAAGTATCATCCAGGTAAGGAGGATAAGGTGACAGATGCGTTGAGTCGGGAGGAAGTACATAAAGCCAAGCTGATAATGTGTGAGCATGCATTGTTGATAACATTTTGAGATCTTAATCTTCAATTTGTTTGGACTCCGGATGGTGTGATAATGGGAAACTTGAGTGTTAATTCCACTTTGAGAGATGAAATCCAACAAGGGCAAGTGCTAGATGTGAAGTTACAAGAGATGTTGGCTCAACCGGGTTTCGCACGAGCCATAGATGGAGTTATTCTATTTAATCAAAGGATTAGTGTTCCAGATGATACGGTGCTAAAAAGTAAGATTTTGGAAGAAGCACATAAGGGCGCTTTTACTATACATCATGGTTCCTCAAAGATGTATCAAGATTTAAAAAGGAACTATTAGTGGTCTAGGATGAAATGAGATATTGCATTATGTCGCGGTGAGAATTGAATATCAAATTATTGGATTAGCTTGAATCTTAATTCATCGTTCACCAGCGGTCTTTAATTTGTCCAAAGGAATGGAAAAAGATCGGATTACCCACAAGATGCAATGCAAATACAAAGCTAGAGAGTCTAAGGTTTGGGGGTTGGTTAAACTTAGGGAAGGTATTAGCATCCTAAGCATTTGTAGTAGTCTACAGGAACCTCTTGTTTTAATGTGCTATTGTTGTTTGCTAAGGGTGAAAGACCTAGTGGTTTAATTCTAAGTATGCTCGCCAAGAAATCACATCTTGTGCCTACGTATCCTGAC